ATATATATATGTGTGAATTGTTCTCTGAGTCTAAACCTGATTCACCTATTCTGGCTCTGTCACACTACTGCCACCTTCTGGAAAGAAATCATCTGGTTTATCTATAGAAGATTGACTTTAATTTCAGTTTAGCAAGAAAGCTCAATGCTCAAGATTCTTTATTGTCATTCGCATCACATGTGGAACATGAGGTGGAATGAAATTGTGTACTCAAGGTCCCAGCTACTCCCAAAAATAGCAAATAAAGTTTAAAAAGAAACCGTATAAGGATCTAAGATATACACTAAATACTGATAATGTAAAATACCATGGTATATAGTACTAAGTAGAGTATATAGTACTGTACTAAGGTACAGCAGCCTGAACATGAGTCTGTAGTGAGTAGATGGGTATGAATGAATACAGCAGCATGAGATCAGCAGCAGCAGCACACATGTCACATATCACCAATTAAAGTGGCATTAGTGATGTTTCTTGTTGATTACATATATCATCATCCCATTGATTGAAAACACCTGACTCTAATTTCACTTTCAAATTAACTGATTATCCTAGAGGTTCACATAATTTTTCCACTCACAAATGTGTAATATTGGATCATTTTCCTCAATAAATAAATGACCAAGTATAATATGTTTGTCTCATTTGTTTAACCGAGTTCTTCTCTTCATCTACTTTTATGACTTGTGTGAAAATCTGACGAAGGTTAAACTAAACTCAACCTAAACTTTAGATCATATTTATGCAGAAATGTAGAAAATTATAAAGCGTTCACAAACTTTCAAGCACCACTGTGTGAATATGTTCGCATTCACGCACGCTCATTTATGTTAGTACCCCCTGCCCAGTTTTAGTACTCTATAATTATCATTTCCATTTTATTACTCTTTGGAAATGTTCAAAACAGTATGGAGCAACACATTCCTGATGCTACATTAGATTTTTATTGTTTAAACATGAATAAATATGTAAAAATTAATGAAAGTGAAACTGTCCCCATTTCTTAATTTCATCTTGATAACATTTAATTATTTTTTATCAGAAATCTTATCATAACAAAACAATGACCAGATGTGAAAACATCATTTTCAGAATAATTTTTGGGTCTAGGCGTCCTGGAGGGATCCTTATCAGATGCCCGTCTACTCTGAGCTCCTCACCTCGTCTCTGAAGCTGGGCCCAGTCACTCCCAGAAGAATCCAATTGTTTTAGTCTCATGATCATAGGTGAGGGCTTGAAAGCAGACAGACCAGTAAACTGGAGTTTTGCCTTTTGATTCAGCTCCTCCACAACAGCTTGGACCTTTGTCCTATCATCACTCATGATCAAGAAACCAAGACACCTAAACTCAAAACAAAGCAGATTCACTCCTGACCCAAAAGGAGCCTTCTACTGTTCTTTCCTAATGGAGAGCTAAATCCAAACTTGATGGAGCAGACTCCCATCCCAGCTCATTTACATTTGGTTGCAAACTACCTCAGAGCACGCTGAAGGTCATGGCCTGAAGACCCCAACAGAACCACACCGTCTGCAAAAAGCAGGGGCAAGATTCTGAGGTTCCCAAACCTGACGCCCACCTCTCCACGGCTGTGCCTGTCCACAAACATTCATTAAACGAACTGAGACATGGTAAAGAAAAATAGATTTATTGCTGCAGGCAAGTGAAGAGACAGGCTGGTAAATGTGCCTGATAATACTGAACTGTGCACAGAATGCTGTAAACCCTGTCAACAAGCAATATGAGTAAATAAATGATGCAGTCAGTGATGATGATGATGTTCCACAGCAACTACACATGAATCTGGGTGATGTTCAACCTAAATATTATTTCTCTAAATTTGCTTTTAGTTCACTTTTACTTGTATTTTTCCCTAAAAAAATGTTTACTAAAGACTGGATACCACATCAGTTACTCCAGGAGTTACCTCTCATAAAAACAAACAAAAAATTACAGATAAAAGTTATGAACGAAGAACTTTTGGCCAAGAGGATTAAAATAAAAATAATAAGTTCACCATAAAAAATTCACCATTAAAAACCTTGTATTGTATTAAGATCGATCTTGTATTAAGAAAACATTAGATGTTGTGACCAGATCATGTTATAACTAGTAGTATTTCAAAGTTATAAAAATAAATTATGCCTACTTCTGGTGCCTGAAATAATTTATATTCCCAGTTATGTACATCTGTGGCCACAAAATGTTTGATGTTCATGAAACTGAAGACCTTTTGACCTCCCAAGTTTGTTAAAAAGTTTAGCACAAATTGTAACTGACCAAAAATCTGTAAATGTTTGATTCTAAGAACTGTTCCCCACAGTTCTCAAGGTGGGGATGACATCATGTAGACTCAGCTTCGATGAGGACAAACCTAAAAACTTGAGGTTTGATAAACGGAGAGTCTCAGCTCTTTTTCTCCACAGAGTTCTTGCTGTTTTCTGGTCTATGGTTCAGCTTTTTAAACACTTTTGCAGGCTTGAACTTCCCTTTTGACTTCTTCAGCTCCATAAGTCCTTCCTTCTGGGAGTCTGAACAGAGACATCAAAATCTGAACACACTGGAACATATTTTGAAAGATATTTGTAAAATAAAAGGTGAATTTCTCACCTTTGTCACTTATTTGGTTTTCCCAAAACACATCTCCATCATTTTCCCTAACAAGAGAAACATTTTGAATCTCTGCATGTGAAAGCATCATTTATATATTTTTTCCTTGCATACCTCTGCACGTCCTGATCCAAGCTGCTGATGATCTGATTCCTCTGTTCGATGATGGTGACCAGCTCGTCCATCAGCTGCTGCTCCCGACCTCGATCCTCCGGACTCCAGTCTGTCTCTGAACAGGAGCAAAAAGCAACAGAACACCACAAATCAATCCTCATTTGCCACTAATTTTATTTTTTTCTAAAGGGCCTTTTGTAAGAGCCAATAGATGACTTTTATTAAGGATTTTCATATCCAGAGAAAAAAATGTACCGTATTTTTTGCCGTATAAGTCGCACTTTTTTGCATGAATTTGCAAGTCCTGCAACTTATACACCAAAGCAACTAATATACATTTTCCCCACATATATATAACCCACTTTTTGGCTGAGATTTCACGATTTCGTTAATTCTGACATGAAAAATACTGAACACTACCATTTGCAGCCACTAGAGGGCCCTCAACAAATATGGCAAGCCAAGTGTCTCATTAATAGGTAAAAGTGGATATTAATGAGACACTTGGCTTGCCGTACAAAGCCACCGTTGTCTCGCTCCGGAATTCCTGGAGCAAACGTCAAATCAGCTGCATTTCACCGCACCGCCCAGGAGAAATGCAGCTGATTTGACCATTAAAGTGCATTTATTAAGGAAAAGTTCAACTGAGACACACTTTGCTATAATGTCGAGCAAACAAATAATTGTTTTTAAGTGTTAATCTTGTTAAATTCTTGTTAAAGTCCTCCTGTGCATGCTCCCGCGGCCGCCATTTGGCAGCCAAATCGGTTTTTGGCACATAACCGGCCCACATTTCTGGGTTGTCAGTGGTGACGCGTAACAAACGCAACGTGTCAGCGGTGACGCATAATAGATGCAACTTATATGCCGAAGCAACTTATTTATGGGTTTTTTTTCCACTTTATTAGACATTTTTGGACTGATGTGACTTCTACGGGCGGTGCGACATGCACGGTGGAAAATATGGTAGTTGTTTTAGTAAAAAATCTAAGATGAATAAAGTCCTAAATACAGACCAGGTCTGTTGAGCAGACGTCTGAGCTCGTACTCCGTGTCTGCTTGTCTGTCCTCCAACTTCTGCTGTTTGATCCTGAGGAAAGGTGCAAACAGCTCATAATGTTTCCCCTCAACAGCAACAACATAAGAAGTTTAAGAAACGATCAGAAGATGAACTTTGTCAAGTTTCCTCACAGATAGACCAGTTCTTTATCTTTGTGCAACGTAATGTGTCGCTCGTGGAAAAGTGTGATCCACTCCGTTAGCCTTTGGTCCTCTTCTTTACCTGAAATCACAAGCGGGGCAGATTTTCAGCACACAAGCCGTAATAAATCTGTGCAGGTAAATCCTTTCATCCAGAACCTGCAGGAAGAAATGTGAGGTGTACGGACCGTTCCTGCCGTCTCTGATGTTCCTCTCCAGGTCGACTCCTCGTTGTTCCAGTTCTTCTAAACATCCGTCCAGTTCCTTCTTCTGCTTCTGCAGGTCCTCCATGGACACACAGCCATCTGTTTGTACCTAACAAGGAAGAAAATACACACATAAACCAATATTATTTATATAAATAGCAATATCAAATGACTGAAATTCAAATTTCTGGTGGAAAATCTCCAACATGAAGTTCTGTGTTTTAATTAAGGACGACAAAGAAATTGTAGGCAGACCATTTTTACACTGTATAGAAAAAAAATCTGTAAATATTTTTTCTAAATTTGTTTTACT